AATCGCTTCCCAACTGGTAGCGACCATAGACTAGTCCGAGCCAAGCTGACCATTGATAGTAGATTTGAAACAAGAAAGAAAATGGAAAATAAGCAGAAATTAGAGATGGAAAAACTAAAACAAGAAAAACAGACATACGAAGAGAGAATAATGGAAATATTGCAGACCAAGCAAGATATAGAACACAAACATATCGATGAAATAAATATGATATTTACTGAAACTCTAATGAAAGTTGGTAAAGAAATAGCACAGACAACAACAAAAAAAGGAAATTTCATATCGCAGGAAACAATGATTCTTATGAACACAAGAAGAACATTACTAGAACAAGGGGACAGAAATAAAATGGAATACAGGAAGAAAAGATAGAGAAAACAATTGAACAAAATAGAAACATGAAGTGCTTAAAGCAGAACATGAGAAACATACAAATTAATAGCATAAAGAATAAAGAAGGAGTGAAGACCAACAATATAAAAGAAATTTTACAGATAACGCACGAATATTATACAAATCTCTATAAAACAGAACAAAAACCAACCCAAGAAATCCGTAATCAGTTACAACTGAAAATAAAGAACGGTAACCCTGACCTACAACCAGAAATCAGTAAAAATGAAATAAAAAAGGCACTCAAAGAAATGAAGAATAACAAATCTTCTGGGAAGAAACTCCTGGGCCAGAACGAGATGGTTGGATGACGTAGAAGACGACCTGAAAACAATGAACATAAGACAATGGAGAAGAAGGGCACAAGAGAGATCTGAATGGAAGGACATAGCAGACAGGCAAAGACCCATCCAGGGTTATGATGCCAAAAGAAGAAGACGAGATTCCATGCAATAAGGAACAAAAATGTGTTTCTCATTTAAACGAGAAAACATAACGAGATTCAGTTATCAGTTATCACATATTTAAACGAATATTGTGATTTTAGTCATAAAAACATAATCTTTGCTCATTTTATAATATTATTAGTTTTAGTATTAAGTAACAAATATAGAAAAGATAAGTTTCTTACACTTGTAGAAATAACTGTGTTGTAGCTTCTTTTACTGTTCGTTCAATGTGATTGCGTTTTGCTCTTTTTAAAGAAACCAGAGCGTTGCAGTTCGTCGTCGCACTAACACACTTTTTAAAATAATACCCGCTATTTAAATTTTGTTGATAATAATCCAAAATTAGATCTATTTGTTTTTGAATACATTGTATAATATTGAATGTTTAAGTCCAGCCTAAATAAAAAACAAAAACTTTGGGATTAATTATTATTTTTGTGATATTTTTGTTAAAAATATTTTTAATTGGTTTCCCGCACCTCCAGTGGTTGGTTTTGTGTGATGTTCTTAAGGAAATGGAAGTGTTCGTGATAAGATAAGGTTGTTTATTTTGACTAATATAAGCCACGTGCTAGTGATTTTTTTAAATTGCAAATTTACGTCAAGGAAAATCTGGAAAGGTTATTTCGCAAATTTCATAAAGTTACTGATTGTAACATACGCAAAGCGGCGATATTGTATCCAATTAACATATAATGACATTTGTTTTGAGATAAAATGTAGCAAAACGTCAAATTTTGACCCAACGTGATTTGACCCAAAATGTATCTATACGTCCAGTTAGAATTTAACAAGGTATTACATAAGAGGTTATCATAGAAAATCAAAAAACACCTGCAAAATGAATACTCTATACCTGTTTCCATCAATCCTTTTTAAGATTCACTAAAGACTAGCACATGAGTAGGTATATTTCCACCACAAGGAAATATTTTCGTTTTCCTACTTTGTTTGATTTTACATCAGACGTATCAATAACTCAAGACTCACTCATGAGTATCTGTCTTTTAAGACAATGATAATGTCTAGTCACGAAACTTATTACGATTATCTTTTATACGACAGTATCGCGAATTTTTCATCTGTTCAAATATTCAAGGTACATACAGTCCATCCGCTAGATCTTTGCACAAGTCTGACATTATTCACAAATTATTTTTTATATTACATACACAACAGTATACATCGAACAAGGACCGTCAACAGAATAATATGAAATATTTTTAAGGGTTTTTATTTTTAGACTATGCCTGGTAAACCAGTGAATTCTCAAGCACAACAACTTGTGTAATGTGTTGGAGTATTTCGAATTAGAAAAAATGAATGGATGGTCTTTGGAGCCACTTTTATCTGTTTAACAGGTAATATATTGAAATATGTATTCGTTTATCAAAATACATATCATTGAACAATTCTTTATTTAAGAGAGGAGCAGTAACATTGATATATGTGAGGGATAGCCAAGTTCCTTCCTAAATATATGGAAAATCTCAAAAGTGTGCATCCCAAAAACCTTGTTTTTTGGAAGAAAAGTGGTTTTATTCAAAGAGAAGTAATACAATTTCCTGGCAAGACAACAGTATTGAAAGTATAGGTAAACCAGAAGGATATAATAGTAAACGTTTTATAATTCTTCACTTTGGTTCTTCGAACGAATTTGTCACTGAAGCTTTGCTCAAAATCTAAAGTAGCTGATTATCATGGGGAAATGAACAAAGAAATTTTCCTTAAATGGTATCAACAAGAATATAAATTATGACCTGGTTGACAATAAAAAAGATCAATTGCAACAATGAACAGAAAAGAGGATGTGTATTTAATTGATGAGCTACTAAGAAAATACTGCAATGAAGTGTTGAGATTACATCACTGCGAATTCAACGCTATTCAATTAAGACAAAAAGTAAAAATCCGAAGATTTCTACTTGTTCGAAACCAATATTCAGGTCGAAACCGACATGGGGAATCTAAAATTGTATTCCACAGAAAACAGCAAGTCACATTACAATAAGTATATGCTGATACAGATGGATATTCTGATAGTGATGTTATTATTATGTAGAAATAGGCACTAAACCAATGTAACAAAGAAATTTGGCTCACAAGATGGCTTATTTATTCGTTTTTTACTCTTATAAGGACTGTAAAGACACGCTTTAAATATTTGTACTAGAAATTTCAATTTGTTTAACGTTTCCGCGTAGATTAAACAAAAAATCATTTATTTCTATGTTATAATAATCTGAGTTATTGAAACCCCAAAACAAGACTGAAGGTGCCTCTGTCGAAGGTGTCGAAAGCTCGACAGTACGAAAAACTCACTTCTAAACTGAAAAATGAAGAATTTATTAGATATTTTGAAACCAAACATTTAGCAGTAGAAAAAATAAATTCGGCTTATCATGAATAGCGCAGTTGAGAGGATACAGGTATTTGCATTTCTATAACAATCAAATTTTATCAAATCTTATCAAATAAACGGATGAGATAAAATATACACCTGTATTCAAATTGAAATTTAAATAATGTACAAAGTGGAAAATATTTCACATGGACATATTTTAGAACACTTCACAGGATACCAATTGAATATGATCAAACAATATCGTTTAAACCTCAATATTATATTTTATTACGTAAGTTGACATAAAGTAGGTCTTAAGATGGAAAAAAACAAAAATAATGCCAAATACACCGAACATTAGATAAATAACGTTGAACGAAATAAATTTCCCATTTCTGGGACAGATAATGAAAGTTAACAAAGAAAATCAAACTGCCGAGGTTAGCGTGGGCAGGATTTGGAAAACTGAGCTAGATCTTGAAAAGCACTAAAATAAAACAATATTTGAAAACCAGAAATTACGATCAGTGTATCCTCCCTATACTGTACGTAAGGTTCATAGACGTGGACACTCACCAAGTCTAATATGGAAAAAATAGTAAAAACACAAAGAGCGTTGGAAATATCAATGCTCGGGGTGAGACTTACAGACAAAAAACAAACAAATGGATTAGAAGCAAAACCAAAGTAAAAGACGCAGGAGAACATGCTGCCACATTAAAATAAATTTCAATAGGTCATCAATACATGTCAGTATAAAAGTCACCTGGGAAGCATGGTATAGCATGGTAGGGTTAATACAGTACTGTCTCATCTAGAAAAAATATTCAATATACATTTTATCTTAGGTTATATTCCAAAACAATTGTCATAAGTGAGAACCTGCTTCATTTCTAATAGTCTCAAACATCCTCCAGGGGAACCAAAATCATATAGAGGTGTTAGCATAACCTGTCTTCTAAGGAGTATGAAAGAATTACTAAATTTATAAGAACTGAATCTTCATCTTCACGTGCCATATCACAGTTATCCGACTTTGGCGATCACCATTTCGAAGGCTCGATCTTCTGCCACATCGAATAATATGGTAGAATAATAATAATAAGAACTGAACTACAATAATAATAATAATAATAATAACTGAATACTTCAAATTAATAAAATAGAGCCACATAAAAACTAGTAAGGCAAAAAGTACAAATGACAGAAAAAGGTCAGAGGGATTTCTGAACCGAGGAAGAAAACACTACAACATAGACAATATTGGCAAAAACATAATCTCACTTGCCTACTTTGCGCCTTGCAAAGAGCAGTCCAAGATACGCCCATTGAAGACGGCGGTGCTATTTACAATAGTCGATACAAATCTCAGCATACGCTGATGACATTGACATAATCTGGCGTAGCAAGCGACATGTTAAGCAATATTTTGTAGCCTCGAAAAGCGAAGAAATTGGTCACAAATACTGATTGTTCTATAGTTCTGAATATCAGAACATCGGTTTTACAAATAGGAACAACAAATCTAAACAAACATGTACGGGGAAAAGTTTCTTGCAATAGTAACTTACTGTGAAAAGTAAGTGTAAGGTTTTTGGAATTTCAGCAACAGCATTTGGCCATCTTCAAAAATTGGCATGGATTGAATCTACATGTATTAATTTTAATGCACCAAAATTTAGTAGGAAAAATAAAGAAGTGGATAAAGGAAGTATCAGAATCCAAATAAGGCGTGCAAAAATGCATTAAGCTGTAAAAAGAAGTAACATAGTACACATCCAAATGTTTCATTAATTATTAATGGAAAAACTTACTGTATGCGTTCAAGTAATCCATAAAATTCAAAACCTTCATCTTTCCTGTATATCAATATCACTAAATACGGTCCAGAGTACAAAGAACGTCGGTATTAGTAACAACAACGCTATTTCCGGTATTATTGGGAATTAATGACAAACGAAGCTGACACCTCCGTTGCGGTTTCTAGAAAAGGATTATCAGTGTGTACAATTAGAATTATTATAGGAAATAGCTCATCTCCGCTTATCTTATCGCTTGAGATTAAAAATATCTTTAAAATGTCAGACGAAGAATTTGAAAATAATATGTTGTTGGAGGAAGACGTACACACTTGTATAATGACGACAGAGGTTTAAAAGGATTTAAACAGATTTTTTTATTACGATATTTTTTATTATTATTACTTAAAATTTTGAAAAATATCTATATTTAGATAAGATCTAATACTTATGAAAACATTTTCAAGGCTACACTGAGTTTCTTCCTTTCTGAAAGTAATTGATGAACAAAATAGCTTTGCGCTTTTGAAAATACTAAAGTAAGAACTTTGCCATCTTCTTCTTCTTCCTTCTAGTATGTAGGCTTTAAAGCCTGTTTCTTCTTCAATATTAGTCTCCTAAATTGTCGCACCATCTTTTGCTTGGTCTGCCAATACTTCTTACTTGTCCATTTGGTGACTTATCTCGTGCTATTCGTACTATTATATCCTCTGCCATTCTACTGATATGTTCGTTCCACTCCTGTTTCCGTTTTGTAACTCATCCATTTATGTCTTCTATATTGCTCTTCTTATATTTTCGCTTCTCTCCCTGTCCAATAGACTTCTCCCTGATATTCGTCGAAGTATTCCATCTCTGTTGTTTCTAGCAGTCGTCTCGTTTTAGATGTGTCAGGTCTTGTCTCCACCGTGTATGTTAATATAGGTCTAATTGCTGCTTTATAGATTCTTATTTTTGTGTCTTGTCTTAGGTGTTTGTTCTTCCAGATTGTGTCATTAAGAGATCCCGCCGCTTTACTTGCTTTTAAGCTGTGTTGTACTTCTTCTTCAACATCTCCGTAACTAGTTATATCTATTCCCAAATATCTAAACCTTGCTTCCTGCTTGATTATTTTTCCATCAATTTCGATTTTACACCATAGTGGGTATTTAGATGTTGTCATAAATTTGGTTTTGTCTGCTGTTATTATCATATCGTATTTCTTAGCTGTAGTATTAAAGATATGTGTTAATCTTCGGAGCTCGTCTTCTATCTCGGCGATTAGTGCGGCGTCGTCTGCATAACATTATATTTGGATTTCTTTGTTCCCCTTTCTGTAGCCATGACCTTTACGTACTGCTTTTATTATTTCGTCCATTATTATATTAAAGAGAAGTGAGCTCAACGAGTCACCCTGTATGACTCCGCTGTGTACTGGTATACACTGTGTTAGTTTTCCATTTATCTTTGCCTGTATTTGATTATGGAGGTAGATGTTTTCGATGGTTTGTATAATATTGATTGGTATGTTTCTTTTATACAGTAGGTGTAAGACGTCTTCGACTTGGATGCGATCGAAAGCCTTTGTCAGGTCTATAAAACATAGATATGCTGGTTTATTGTACTCGATGGGCTTTTCTGTGATTTATCTTAGTACAAATACGGCGTCTACGCAGGACATCTAACTACGCAGGACTTTGACATCTAATGTGCCAAATTTGGATGACCATTGTTTCTAAAATAGAGTTGAGAAATCAGAATTAGACTTCTCAAGCCATCGCTTTGCTTGAACAGTTATTTCATCATCAGGAAGCAGTTCTTTAACAATAGAGACACTCATATTTTCAGATTCTTTTTAAAATTGCAATTTCTTCAAGAATAGTTCATTTAATGACATAAAACCCATGTTAGTTAATAAGAGTTGTTACAAAACAAGTAATAATAGACGGCATTGTTTAGCTATTTATATGTAGAATGTTTATATGATGTAGAAACTATTGTATTCTGGTTTTCCTATAAATAACTCTTCATTTTCAATTATTTATTTATCGTGTCGTAAAATGTAGAACAATTTATTTTGGATAATCTCATTAAAATGTTTCCATTTCAGTGTTTACTCTTTCATAAATTGTAGTGCAATAGAGGAACACCTACAATATTTCATAGTTTGACGATATATAAAAATAAAACGTGAACAAATAGGTGGGCGACTCTGGTAAAATATTTATTTTTATTAGAGTGTACGAAAAAAATCACCTATTACAACTTTATATAGTTGTTTATAGCGTTTGCTACTTTGGTTTTAAACATACTCTTCAGAATTAGTTGTGTTCTTCTTCCTCCATCTTGTATGTAAGTTTTAAAACCTGTTTTTTCAGGAGCGCCTAAAAGGAGGACTTCGCAGATTGTGCAGTGACGTCACCAATTATGTTGTATTGTAAATTTAAAGTGATGTAAAATGTAAATAAGTAAATATAATGAAGTTTCTTTACGTCTGATTAAGCATTTATCTGGCAGATGAAAAATATGTTACATTCCTTGCAGCAATATTATTTAAAACTTTCATATTTTATATAATTTGCATACTTTTTATGCACGTCGAGCCAAGGAAATAAAAAAAAATACTTTTTATGCAAGTTTCTATTGTGCCGATTAAGACTTGATTGGGTCTGAAACACCTTATTACACTCAAGACAAAACACTCCCATTTTCTTTTATTTTTGAAGAAAGAAATCTACAATTAAACTACCAATGAATTGACTGTCAAAAAATAATTTCTTATACGGTTGAACAATAAAATAATAACGGTATAACAAAAATCATGTGTGGGTGGTGACATCACGTTAAGTTTAGAAACTGATTGGTGACGTCACGGCACGAACTGCGAAGTCCTCTTTTTAGGCGCTCCTGTTTTTTCTTCAATATTAGCCTCCTTAATTGTTTAAACTATCTCACCATATTTTTCTTGGTCTGCCAATACTTCTTTGTCCATTAGGTGACTTATCTCGTGCTATTCGTACTATCCTCTGCCATTCTCCTAATTTGTTCGTTCCACTCCTGTTTCCGTTTTGTCACCCATCCATTTTCTTTTTTCCCTGATATTCGTCTAAGTATTTCCATCTCTGTTGTTTCAAGTAAGTAGTCGTCTCGTTTTAGATGTATCAGCTCTTGTCTCCGCCATGTATGTTAATATAGGTCTAATTGCTGCTTTATAGATTCTTGTTTTTGTGTCTAGTCTTAAATCTACAGCAACAAATGCCTTGAAATAGAAGAACGACAGAAAAATAATGACACGCAGAGGTCAACTGCAAATAGTCTACTTGACAAACAAGGAAATATAGTAAATGAATAAGATAAACTAAAGAGATGGAGGAAATTTATTGAAGAACTGTTTGATGACGAAGGAACAAAAATTTGAATGAAAAATATATCGACTTGGCTAAACATAACCTTCGATGAAAAGAAAAAACAATTAAACTAGCAAAGAATAGGAAAGCAATCAGATTATACGAAATACCGTGTAAAATAAACTCTAAACTAAACAATGTTGCGATTATCTCACCATCAGTCTGATGAGCCATGTACTGAAAATTGTCTTAAGAATACTGCACTCGAGAATTTACAACAGAATACTATTAGGTTTGATAGTTTCATAAGACCTGATACGTTTGTCGTGGGTGGTAATTGATGACCAAAAACTTCGTATTGACAAAAGTTTGTAGTGGTATCAATGTGCAAACATACGAATTGGTCAGTCATCACTGCTAAATATTCTCCACATTGGTGAATGGTATAGGAGCTGGACCTAGATACCGTAATAAAAATATTGGAGGTCTTTGAGATCTGGAGATAAGAGATTTAATTCCAAAAAAAAGAAGTTAAGGAAGAGATATCCTGTGAATAAAACTTTAGAAAAATTTTAAAAGGAAAAAAGAAGAAACATTTAGTATCTACCTTAGAGAGTTACATGATGACAACATTACTGATTATTCATTATGGAAATCTGGTAAGTAAGCTGCAATAACACTTATTTTCTGATGGTACCATCTTCATTGAAGGTTGAAAACAATCTCAGCGAGGTAATGTCAATTTTGAGTAGCTCTAAAAGGCTAGTCAAAACCATTCTAATCTCTGATATTTTTCAACAACCAATGGTTTATCCCAATTGTTTCTTGATTCAACTTCAAAATTTTTGCTCTAAGTATTTCTTATAACATTATTAAGGTATATAAGCTTGCCGCCGCCGTGCATCGAAATAAAAATCTAAAACCGTCACGATGTTTTATTTCTTTACTCTGTTTGGAGTACCAGAAACTGAGTTCACTACGAATTTTGACCATGATGAACGGCTTGTGAAATGCATATTTTAGATTCCCTTGTCTACCAATTCATCACCATCATCACCATTCAGTTCACCAGGTAAGAAATCCTATGATTTCTCTTGTTGTTAAGCCCTTTTTCTTTATTATCTATATCTTTTGAGCAAAGCCTGAACATATACGTCTGGAAGGTGAACAAAGAGCAAAGAATTGTAAAGATACATCTTTCTCTTGATCATTTATACAGAATGTATAGCATTAGTGTTATTTTGGCAAGATATCATCTTTGGTAGTTGTTTTTTGCTTAGCTATCAAATACCGTATCATTTGTTGTGTCCTACATCACAATCCTGCCATTAATACCGAATATACCTTTTAATACCCATATTACATAATGTTTCCTTTGTTATTACTCTCCCCGGCATTCCCCCGTTTAATTTGATGTGTCATGTGTCTTGATCCGATAGGCTATTCGGAAGATAAAAGTTTCTGATCAATTTTGATATTTTGGAGCTTTATTCAAGCGTTTTTAGACGTTTTTCCATGTGGATTAAAACTAGAACGCCTGCCGAGCGGTTCCATAGTAATCCATGGCGTATAAATGATTATATTTTATGATTCAATATGTTTGTCTACATTTTGTAGGTCAGTTGCAAAGACGAATATCTAAATTGAATTAAAATAAAATTTAACGGCTAATGTTGAGATATCGAGGGTATAATTAACTTTTTAATGTTGTTATTAATTAATTAAGTATGCTGTGGTCATGATGATTGCCTTTTAAAGAATCATACAAATTGACCGTTTATGCTAAAATAATATCTGTTAGTAAAATAAACATTGGTTATTCCGGATACAATTAATATTGCACAAACACCGAGACCCAAC